TCTCATATCCTCCAAGGATCAGGGCACTGGGGTCAGGCAGCAAAGTTCTCCTTCTTGAGAAGGAGAGGTGTTTTCTAATGCATCCCTACAGTCAGCATTTCCTATGGACTGCTGCAAACACTGTAGCTCCTCCATTTTCCATGAATTGCAGACAGAGACTCCAAATTCCTGGAGCTATATAAAAGCTATATAGCTCAGGAATGCTTCTCTCTCTGCATGTCCACTCTGGGTTGTGGTGATGTGGATTTAAACACTGTTTTAAGAGTCAAGTGCTGGCAAAAAAAAAAAAAAAAAAAAGTGTTCTACAAAAGTAATGTCTCCATTGTACTAAGCAGATCTTCCTTCATGATCACACCTGACATGTGTCTCAGTTTAGAGACAAGTTTTGGAGAAAATGCTCTAGAATGAGTGTTTCCTCTAAAAAAAAGTTTCTAACAATACCCTTTCTGCCAATAAGAGATTAACACTAGTGCACTAGTGGATGAAAGCTAAAAAAACCAACTATTTCTTGACAAAGAGAATGTCAACATGGCATGGGGAAAAAAAGTTGTGGAAAAATGCTAGATCCTGAACTCTCAGACCTTGCCCTCCCCATACACACACTCACACTGTAACAAAAAAACCAACTCAAAATGCCAGGGAAAGAGAAAAACAACAGCCAACCATGTGGTAGGGAGGAACAAAATGGCACCTGGATTCTGTCTCATGGAAGAAAAAAAACCAAAAGGTTCACATAGGAGCTCAGGGGGAAAATAACAAACAGATGGGAACCTGGTGAATCTCTGATGTTGATCTCATCACAGCAGATGAAGCTGGTGGATTTGGTGTCCTTTTTCTTGTGGGTTCAGCTTTTCTGAGGTCTGGGGCTGGGGTGGAGCAGCTCCTTGGCTCCTTGCTGGCCCTCTGCTTCTCCCATCAACTCTCTGATCTCAGACCAAAACCAAACCGAACAGTTCAGGAGAAAAAAACAAAAAACTTGTGGAAGGTTTGCTGTCAAAGTCTCCAAAGCCAGGGAAAGGAAAAAAACTTCTTGACTAAGCTAACAAATCCAAGTTAGCTAAGCAACAAAGTCTGCCTGTCTGCAGGGAGCCACAGACACCTGCCTGGGAGTGAAATTTTGAAAAAAGCCTGCACAAGAGCCCCCAGGTGCAACCTCTGCCCCTGGACCCACCCTAAAGCTACAGCAACTATTTCTGGGTATAGTGCAGACAATTAGTGAATAGGGTGTCATCATAAAATCACTATGAGACAGCATGGAGTGGGCAAGACCAGGCTGTTCCTCCTTGGGGACTATCTTTGCCAATGCCTGGGCATGCCCTAGTGTAAATCCTTCACATTTATTTATTGTTTTCCAAAGCATTTAAGTTCTTCAAGCTCTCAATTGATTTTAAAAACAGAAAAGCCATTTAGAAGTCCCAGAATGCACTGACAATCAGTGGGATTCAGGGTGTGCTTCTGGTTCTGACAGGGACATCTGAGCTCCTTAATTACCAAGGGTATCTGAATGATGTATTGATCAGGTTCCCACTGAAGGATACCTTGGATATCTTGGCAAGAACGGGACTGAGACACTCTGAATAGCCAACTCTGATAATGTGAAACATACCTAGGTTTTTAATGAAAACTCAAGAAATAAATAAACCCATTCTAAACCAGCCAACAACAAAACTTGTACCACATCCCCCATGCCCCAACAGTCCCAGCTGAATCCATCTTTAACTACTAAAGGAGCTGGTGAGCAAAGCATCTGTCAGCACAAGCTGGGAACTTTCTGTGCCCCAAGTTGTGCCTCTGGCTCCCAGGGCTGGCATTGGTCTTCAGCAGACACCAGCCTTTTGAGCTAAAGAAGATGCTGTAATGTTGCAGCGTGATTATTTTTGCCCCTGCGATGTAGAGAGCTAAGGCACAGCCTACATGGATGCACCAACCTGGGAATGTCCTCAGGTCTGCAGTGCTGCATAGAGGAGTTACCCAGAGCCAGATTAACAGTGCAGTGGGAAAAGTGTCACACTTGCAAATCGTGTTCCTCTGTGGCTCACTTAAAGGTAACAAATCATTCACAGTCTTGCTAGAGCAGCTGCCTGCACACCACCACCACGTCTATGAATGGAGCTGATCTGATCTTTATAAAACCAGCATTTTGAAAAGTGGGAATTATTCCTAGCTAACTTGATACTTGGTTTCAAAATTGTCACTTCATAGCTATTATCTGTAACTTTAGCCAGTCTTTTTAAAAGTCCTTTCTTTTCCATTTCAAATAGATGTTTTTCATTAAATGCTTTCATCACTTTCCCCCAACCCCTCACCTCCCACAAATGGAAAGACAGATCTCTGGTTCTTTTGAGAACAAATACCCTTCAATTCATATTCCACAAAGTAGTTTTGCATATTTTAATGGAGTAGGTAGAGATTCTTGGTTTTAGAATGTTTTAATTGAAGTGAAAATCCAGAGCTGAGCATTTTCATAAAATGAACATTAAAAATATTTGACTAGGCTTGAAACATTCTAATTCTAATCTCTCTCATTTATAACACTTGCTTTCTCTTTTTTTGGAAAAGTGTTTTCAAAGGCAAAAGGAAGCAGAGTATCAGAATTATGAAGAGAAGATTCATAGCATACAGCTCAAACAAGAAATTCCTCAAAACTGATTTCTACCATGATTATTTTGCTGATCATAAATGAGCATCTTCCAGTAAAAACCCTCTGTGAAAGGGATTCTGTCCAGAAAAAGTATCACAACTTGTGCCTGCACATGGTCTCCTGTTTGCTAAAGGCCTCCACAAAATTTTCGGTGTTGTTTTCCGCTGGACTCATTCCAAGCCTATTTCAGATGCAGTTTTCAATTGATGCCAAATTGATTTTAGCCTTTTTTCTTTTATATATTCTCTGTACTCTTTCCACATGTATTTGTAGCCTGTTAGTGTGTTTTTAGTCCCAGTACTTTTCCTTGCCTTTTTCCCTAGCCAGAAAGACAAAATATATTCCAGAGCTCCAAGCCCCAGGGGTGACAAGGTCCCTATCCTACCTTGGTTTTCTCTAGGAACCAAGGTCAAAACCAGCTCTTTGAGACACATTTTCACCAAGAACAGTTCCTAAAAGGGGAGACGGAATTCAGAGAAAGGTTGAACTGGGGGTAATTGCCTCACTAGTTATGTCTCTAATGGATGATTTTTGTCAATTATGCTAATTTGCTAAACTTATAAAACTGTATTCGCCCCAGTGGGGTGCATTTTGTGGACATTTTCCATATCTGCCCCTGGAAGCCTCCATTAAACCCCTGCCTTTATATTACCTCCTATACTAATATTATCTTGAAAGTGTGTGTTGTTTCATTTTAAGGCATCACCATGGGTAGAAGAAGCTGGGACACACCCTTAATTGTGAAACACTGGACCTGTTCATTGCCATCAGATTTCAAAAGGCTTTCCAGCCCTAATGGGCTAGTGGATTGTTCATTATCACTGATGTCTCAATATATAGCAGCATGTATCCTATTGCTGGAAGGGCCAGTGTGGCCTTTAGTGAAGGTAGTATGGAGGGACATGTAGCAGCTTTAAATTAACTGATGAGAAAAGAACACTTAGAATGTAATTTGAAATTTCTAAGGTGTTGCACAAACATGAATTATTCTTTACACTTACTGAAAAGACAAAACCAGCTGCTATTACCAAGCCAACATGGGATAAGAGCCATGATACAGTTACTGTTTTTATATCTCTTCCAAATAATAGGATCATAGAATGGTTTTCATGGGAAGAGACCTTAGAGATCATCCAGTTCCAACCCCTCTGCCATAAGCAGGGATGCTTATCACTAGACATGGTTGCTCAGGGCCCCATCCAGCCTGGCCTTCAACACTTCCAGGGATGGGGCATCCACAACCTCTGGATGGCTCATCTAATACCTGGATCAGGAAGTTGGCTTCTACACACTCTAGGAATGCCCTTGGTTGCTTGCAGCCACCTGCATTACTTTCCCAGAAGATGCTGGTGAGGTAGATGTTCAAGAGTACATTCAGTGCAGGTAACTCGGGATGCAGCTGCAGTACAAGATGCAAGCTGAACTCTGTGGGGCAGGAGCCCAAGCCCAAGGCAAGGGGCCATGAACTACCCTTTGCATTACAAAGGGCACAGGGACCTGTGGGGAAGCCAGGGGACCAGACACTCAGAGACACAGCACGAGCTAATGAGCTCCAGACCTTCATGAACTCAGACGGGAGAGATAAAAGGAGTTTATTCCAGGTTCCTCCTCAGAGGCACCAGCTTGAGGTGTTATTTTGTTATTTAGTTACCGCATCATGATTAAACTGTTTTGAGGATCTGGACATCTGTGACTCTGCTATGGGAAAGCCAGGATTAAGCTGGTAAGGAAGCCTGGTGTGAGAGTGGAGGGTATAGCTGTGAAGGCCTTTGGTCCCACATGAGGTGATGTGAGAATGACTCCAGAGTGGCTCTTAGGTGGTTGGACAGGGAAGTTTCCTTAACATTTAAACCTTTCCTTGCTAGCCTCTTGCTTCTGAAAAGCCCCTAGCCCTCAGCTACAGTACTCCGGTTGAGGAAGTGACCCAGCATGCTTCCATGATGACAGTTTTGGAAGGGACCTAAAAACTCATCTGGGACACCTTCTACTAGAGCAGGTACCTCAAAGCCTGATCCAGCCTGGCCTTCAACACTTCCAGGGATAGGGCAGCCACAAATTCTCTGGGCAACCTGTGACAGTGCCTCACCCCTCCTATAGTCCAGCATTTCCTAATATCTAATAGAAACAGCTTAAGGCTATTCCCCCTATTCCCTGCCTGCCCTTGGGAAGAGGCCCTCTCCAGCCTTGTTATGGGCCCTCAGAAGGTACTAGAAGGGGTTCTTAAGTTCCAAAAGGTCAGCAACGAACAACAGCCGTTGGTCACCCACCGTAACCCCTGGTGGTCATGAGCCCAAGGTTCTGAAGGCTGGGAGTTGGGGGGACAGACCAATCAGCAGGCTCAGACCCAGGTGACATCACAATGGCTGAAGAACACCTGGGGCAGTTGGAGGGGCAGAGCTGCAGAGAGACGGTGCAGTGTGGCCTCCTCTCTTGCTTCTCTCTCATCCCCTTTGGGTATTGGTGCCATTCTGTGGCAGTCACCCAGGACCTTCTTGAGTCAGAAGAGGAGCACCTAAAGAAATGGGTAGAGTTCGTCGTTTGTTGGACCTTCCTACCTGTGAACTCTCCAGACTTGGAGAGATTGCAGACCTAGTGACCTCTGCTCGCCTCTCACGCATCCGTAAGAGAAGGCTAGCACTGGCCTTGAGGAATGAAGACTATATTCCAAAGCTGCTACAGCTTTTCCAAGTCTGTGAGCGTGAAAAGAACACCAAAGGCTTGCATCTTCTGTTTGACATTGTGAGAGGAATTCTGTACCTGGACAGCTCCATTCTGTTTGAGGTGATGTTTTCTGATGAGTGTATTCTGGATGTTGCCGGATGCCTTGAGTATGATCCTTGTTTGACTCAGCCAGGATGCCACAGGGAATTCTTGACCAAAAGAGCAAAGCTTCAGGAGGTTATTCCTACCAGAGATCCTGAAATCAAGCAAAAAATCCACCAGGTGTACAGGGCACAGTACATTCAGGCCATAATCATGCCTGATCCATCGGATTTTGAAGAGGGTTTTCTTTCTACCCTCAATTCCTTCATCAGCTCTGGCAAGGAGGAGATTTTACATGGGTTGCAGGTAAGTGTTTTTAATGTAGCTTAGATGGGAGCCTGAAACAAATTAGCACAGTTCTTTTCCATCTTTTTTATGTGGGTGTGGGTGTGGCAAATCCCACAGGGAGTCTATGGGGTTGGGCAGAACTGCAAAGCATAGAGGTGGCACGGCAGAGAAGGAAAGGAAATGTCACACTCTGTAGAGACAAATTTAGGGACCATTTTTGGGGATCATCCCCTGTGCCAGCTTTACCTGTGGCTCTGGTGTCCTGGAGCTGCTTCAGCTGCACAGAAGGAGTGCAGAAAGACTGGAAATGATCCTGCTGGATGTGTATTCTAGCATTTGCCTTCTTTGAGATAAAAATAATGACAGTGTGGAAAGTTTGACTTTGTGCAGTGTGGGATCCTAGAAAGATCGTGTTTTCACTTTCCAGAAGGCACTGTGTAATTCGTGTTCTTTTTGTGTGCTCCACAGCAGGATGAGGAATTTTTGCCTGAAGTTTTGGCACAATTAAAAAATGAAGCTACAACTGGCGAGCAACGATGTGAATTGGTAAGTCAGTAGTCTTGGTGGGTCCTCAAAGGCTTTAAATGAGAGGGATGAATTAGAAAGTGAAACTGTTCTGAGAGTTCTGCAGTCTTAGAAGTACTTCTGGAGAAGCAGCCAGTACACCACCCCCGGTACAAATTGTAACTCTTTCCTCCTTTCAGAGAGTTTTCTGACTCAAATACACAAAACTTTTTTTTCCCCTGTGTACCAGATGAAGTTTTTCAAGGAATTCTGTGCCTTTTCGTTCATGTTACCTAAGAAAATAGATGAATTTCTTCAAACTTTGGCAAAGTTGAGATTTCTTCAAACTCTTGAAATGTTAATGGTAAGTGAAAACTTAAAACTAGTTTAAATAAAACTAGAAAAGCCCACAGCCATATAGCCTTTTAAAATATTTTTTGATCTGCTGAGCACCTTTTTGTAAGTCTGATTGGAGAGTTTTGCTCTGCTGAGAATGGAGGTTTCTCCACAGTTCTGCTCTGGAGTAGCCTGGCTTTGACTGCTCTTACTATTTTACTTTTCATAATGGAGATGTCTGAGGGCATTGAAGTCTTTGTAACAAGGCAGTCAAAAGGTGAAAGAGACTTTTTCACGTGGAAGCGTGATTGTTGGGTTTTTTATCAGAGAAAACCACATCCCTTAAGGAAAGGTCTGAATTCTTGTTGCCTGTAAATGGGTACAGAAACTGTTGTACATCTTGATTTGTACAGTGGTCCTTTAGTACAAAATGAATAAATTGTGGACAGCAGGTATAGAATATCAATAAAGTCTTAGATATTCAAGCAAGCAGGATGTTGTGAATGTTTCCAGCCTAAGTTAGGGCTCTTAAATTCACAGAAAGCTTTGTGTCCTTTCTAAAGGATGAAAATAGTAGGGAAAGGATTTGCCTGGTTCCTCGTGGTTTTTCTGTAACCATATTATTGTGTTTCTCATGAAAATTTTTGTAACGAAATGTTCTCCAGTTTTTAAACTGCCTCTTCTTTGCAGCTTCATGCAATGAGAAATACCAAACTTTATTTACTCTAAGAAATTAATCTCTTTTCTCTTTTTTTTTTTTTTTTTTTGTGTGAGGGAGTGGATGATCTGCAAGTTAGATCTGCTGCTACAGATATATTGTCTTATCTAGTAGAATTTAGTCCAGACATGGTCCAAGAATTTGTAATGCAAGAGGCCCGACAGAATGAGAATGTGAGTAAAAGTGGTTTGGACTTTGTTGAATATACGTTTTAGGGCAAACAGGAAAACAACCAGCAAAATAAAATCAAAATTTCTGTGTTTTGTTTTAATTGTTATTGTTTAAAAATTGCAGAAAATGGGGGACTCATTCCATTCTTGTGAATAATTATTTTGTGATTTATTTGGATTTTTTTTTGCAGGATACCCAGCTCATCACTGAGATCATTAAGCAGATAATCTATACTCCCGACCCTGAATTTGGAGGTGATAGTCAGTTAACAGAGATTTTGCGTGCTCTGATCGATCCAGAGAAAATGCTGGACACAGCTAGTGTAAGAGAACATGAATGGTAGAAGATGTGATACTGTCTTGTCAAACTTAAAAGCTTGATATTCTCTATTGCTGTTATTGTGGGCAGAGGACAAAAAATTACAGGGTTTTTTTATTGAGTGGAATGTGGTCTGACAGCAACTTTAAATAAGCAAAAGATAAGCTAATTTTGCTAATGAAAGGTATGTGTCTGGGGCATCATGCCAGTATTAAACCATGAAGTCCCATGTGTCAATGCAACAGAACTGTCTGACCATAGCTCTCTCCATTTGGATGATAAATCCTGAAAGATTTAAATACATTGCAAGGTACCAGAATACCTGTCAAATGCTTTACAGGTTGTTCTGGGCAAAACTACCTGCATTTCAGAATGGTTTAAGGACACTTTGTCAAGCCCTTTGAGTCTTTGATGTTTTCCCAGTATATATTTGCATCCATGCTGGGGATTCTTTTAATGACAGCTAGCTTAGTTGGATGTCTCACAAGTTTTTCCCAAAATAAAGAAATTGATCTTGTGTGAAGACAGTTCTGCAAATCCAAAGAACTCAGTAGAATTCTTTGTAGGCTGTTTCTTCTGTTACTACTCTTTTTTATTTAAAAGGTTGTATGTGAATGCCAGTGTTTAATGAAATTATTGTTGTTTTAGCATTTAGAAATATTTGAATTTCTCGATATCTTCTACGACCGTTACATTCATGTTCTTGCTGCGCCACTTCTGGCTAATACATCAGAAGAATGGTGTGAAATAGGTAATGGCAATTTAAACTTTTTTCCCTTTGAAGGGCAGTACAGTCTTCGTAACAGCAATAGACCTGTGATGCCTGCTGGGAATAGGCTTGCTGGAAGCTACTGTTCTTTCAGGGTCAGGGATTATGTGGGCAGGAGTTTTTATAGCCCTTTCTTGAAGCTGTGAATGCTGACATAGCGTGATGGTGTACTTTGTAAAGATGCACTTCCTTCATATGTATTGAGAATATTGCCATAGTTTTACTAGTCTAATTTTAAGAATATTTACTGTAAAGGCAAAAAAACCCCACAGTTGTTTGTTGTTTTGTTCTGGCCCAATGTCCTGCTTCCCAAAGCAATTCAGTAAAACAAAAATCCACTAAAAATATGTCAGGAAGTGCAATAGCAACTGAGCTTAGTGTACGCTGACAGCATATTATTTATTTTTTTGTACAACTTAAGGCATTAATTTCTCTCGTAGAAAATAATCAAACAGCAGAAATACTTGCCTCAGTTTTGGAGCTGCTGTCTTTTTGTGCGGAACGGCACAAATATCACATGAAGATGTACGTTATGAGCAAAGATCTCCTAAGAAGAACGCTGGTCTTGATGAAATCCAAACACAAATGTTTGGCCTTGTGTGAGTATGGAACTGTTGTGATTTCCTTTTTAAAGGCTTTGTGTGTCCTGTGTGGAAGGTATAAGAGTGCCAATGTTCACTTGAACTCAGAATTCCTGTTCATTTGCTGTGTTTCATTGGCTACAATTAAGTAATTTGGAAAAAAAGAGGTAGCAACTGTCTGTAAGCACAGACCAATGCAGTTTCTGGTGAGAGGAGGATTGTTGTCTCTTGAAGTCTACAGGGATCCTTTCAAATCTCCATGACAGGATCCTTTGTAATCAGATTTCTTGCCTCATTTCAGTGGAAATTGTGTCCTTTCTTAATAATATCCTGAATCTGGTTCTCCTTGTGGAGGGTGAATGAAATCCTGTGAACCAGGGTCTTGAAAGATTCAGGGCTGGTTCTGGGAGGGGAACAAGAAAAAAGAACACAAGGGAGTTAATAGTTTAACTTCATGCATGCTGGAATGCATTGCTTCTGGACTTGAGAAAAAATCCATGGTTCCTGATGACCTTCAAATACCCAGGGAAGTCCAAGAAGGAAAGAAAGAAAGGTGACCTGTCAACAAATCTGATTCTGCACTTTGGGGTTGCATCTTCCTCTGGGACCACACCAGGTTTTTCAATTCTTCCACAAGAAGGCGAGAGCCCTGGCATGTGGCTGTTGAATGCTTTAATGTATTTCTTCACACAGGTGCTCTTCGCTTTATGAGGAAGATACTTGGCCTGAAAGATGAACTTTATAATCGTTACATCACTCTGGGAAACCTGTTTGAGCCAGTTGTAAATGCTGTGTTGGACAACAGGGACAGGTGCAACCTGCTCAACTCAGCCTTGCTGGAGCTGTTTGAATTCATCCAAACGGTAAGTTCAGCAGCAGCCTCAGCAATGACATGTCCATTGCAGGGCAAGAGGCAAAAGGCAGAGTTCCAAGATAGCAAACATCCTGTTTTAATGGTACGGTCACAAATGGAACAAGGATGTTGCTGAGTCTATTGTCCATTTCTAAGGGAAGTTTAATAATTCTTTCCAGATTTCAGCTCTTTTCCTAAGAATAAATCTGATTGCTCCCCATTTGCTCTTGACAAAAATATTTTGGTTCTAGACAAGGAATCAGTTTCTTTCCAAAATCAAGTTAAAAGCTTTCTGACTTTCTGCATGTGAACATTTGAGACTGAAGCCCTCTTTTGTTCTTACTCAGGAGAATATTCAGTTCCTTATTGCACATATAGTTGAGAACTTCTCTGATGCACTGGAATCTGTCAAAGACGTTCACACATTCCAGGGACTGAAGACAAAATATGAGCAAGAAAAAGACCGGCAAAATGAGAAACCAAACAGGTATGGCCCAGTTGACTGCCATTCTGCAGGCCTGCTGGTTGGTTTTAAATTCCCCATAGAGCAGCAGAAGCAGGTGGCTGGGATTGGAATTGGGTTTCATTCTTGCTGAAAACTTCTTGGGTTAGAGTAAACCCCCATCTACCTTTCTTTGAGTAGAGCTGATGTGGTCAGTAGATTAAATGTTCCATTCAGAAAACTCTCAGCTTTTGAAGAGTAGAATCTTGCTCTATTCTTCTAAGTTAGGATTCGGTCTGCCTCATTATCAGCTGGGTATTTGTGAAGCTTACGGTGAGGGTGGAAGAAGGGATGGAGCTGGATTGCTTTCCCCAAGTCACTTAATTCATTCTAAAGGTTTGGAAGCCATTTATGACCTGCCTGAATCTGAAACATCAGGCAAAGCTTCAATCACTTGTCCTGCGTCTCTTGCAGTGTCCCCTCTGTATTGCCTGGTGAGACATCTGTCAAAGAAGCAACAGGCTTACAGGTGGATGAAAATCTGCAGTTCAATGAAGGTGAAGAGAAGGCAGATCCAATGCCACCAGCAAGCCCCAAAGGCTGCAATCCAACGTACACAGCCCTGACCACAGTGATGACACCACCCAAGGTGGGAGAGAACTTTTATGGAAGCTCCTATCCTCATGTAGGACAGCAGAGCAGCCTCCTGGGGCTTTACTGGGTATAATGTAGCACAGCCAGCAATAGCCTTGCACAGGGTATCTTAATTAGGGATAAATTCACCCAAATCCCTGACTACTTTCACCAAGAATGAAACCCTGACTAGGGTTTAGGGTATGGTTTAAGGAGGATAGGGTGGGATTGGAGTCTGTTGTTAATCTGGTTAATTTTGGCTCTTCTGTATGATTGAACTGTTCCTGTTCTTTGGCTGTCTTCCCTGCCCAGCTAGTGCTCTGTGTGTGTAATATACAGATGGGATTGCCTTTTTTGGAATCTATTCCCCATGCGGGAATGAATAAGTGGTTTTTAAGCAGACAAAATGCAGGAAGTGTTACCTCTTTTGTGCCTTTTACAGCCGAGCATTATTTGAATCTTAGCTTCCAAGCAGCTCCAGGAAACTGTGGCAAGAATTTTATTGCTCACCCCTTTTGACTTGGCAGCAAAACAGATGCGCAGCGTGCATTTTTTCAATGTGTGAATTTCATTTGTGTACCTTTTTCTAATTGGCAGAGAGGACTATTTGAAATATTTGGTTATCCAGATGATGAAGAGGCTGAGACACCTCCAAAGAAAAGAGCTCGTCAGGATTCCTAAAGGAAACGGAAATTTTTAAATAAGAACTTTTATTATGGATTTTCCAGTGCTGCAACTGTTTACTGTTAAAATACGGAACCAGCTGCAGGCCAACACATGTATCTCTCTTGTTATATATGTTATTATAGAATAATAATGTAATGGTAATGTACGTTTATACGATAATATGATATGATATGTTATGATAGAACATAATATACGTTATGATATGATATGTTATGATATAATATAATATGATATGTTACGATATTATATGATATAATATGATAAGATATGATATGTTATGACATGATATGTTATGTTATGATATGATATGATATAATGATATATAATGATATATAATGATATATAATGATATATAATATAATATACTATAATATACTATAATATTAGTATAATATAATATAGTATAATATAATAGAGTATAATATAATATAGTATAATATAATATGATATAATATAATATAATAAAATATGATATACTATGATGTAATAGGATATGATATAATAACTATAAGTGATACAAGTAATATTATGGAATATGGTAGTAATATATAATAACATATGTTAGGTCAATTGCTCCTGGAATAGTTTAAGGTGAAGCCATTTCTATGCTTTGGAGATTAAGTTAGTAGCCAGTTTAGGGTAGTAACCAGTTTTAATTGTATCTCTTGTTTGGAAAAAATTGCTTTCTGTATCGATATGCTAAGATAGTTTTTTTCCATCAAACAAGTTTGTGTTAAAGATCCCAATGTACTTGTTGTACACTATTTGTGAATATGTGGCAATATTAATGTTGAGCTGTAAAATTTAGTAATTATAATTGTACTCTGTAATTTCATAGGATGTGCTATTTGTATTTTAATAAAAAGTTACATGAAAACTGACTGGGTGGGTTTGCTTCTTTTCCTGTGAGCTGCTGTTGCAGTGATGTCATGCCCTGTGCTAAGGGTAACCCCACTCTTGGCTTCACTTTCAATCTGTCATGGCCAAGCCAGTACAGGGTTTTAAAAAGATTTCTACTCTTTTTAAACTGAATTGCAGGTGACATCTCAAACTTTGCAACTAAAGCAGTTCTTTTTGCCTAATTTTATTTTAGCAGATTTCAGTATCTAGTTGTTTATAGGCTTTAAAGAGGCTGAGGCCAGTGGTTGAGCAAATCTGCACTGCAGGGATGCTCTGCAAAAGCAGAAAGTGAAAGACAAAATTAGGAAAATTGAAAATGGATAAAATTTAGTTAAGCGGAGATGTTTTATGCTGAAAATAAATTTATCTTAGAAAAAAACAAAAACCAAAAAACAAAACCCAACCAAAACTGACCAAACTAGAATAAATATAACAACTGTACAATGGCCCTTGACCAAGGCTGGCTTTTTAATGGTACTCTAGACTTTAAAAGATTTGGGTTGTTTATTTCAAATGTGTGTGAACAGATACCACCTCCCCTGCCACACATACAGGGAAATTTAGGCCTCACTTAATAAGAGAGAGTGCAGGAGCTATGAAATCATGAGTTCAAAGTGCTTCTCTGAATTATGTGTCTATTTAAGATTTCTCTTTGCTAGAGAAATCTCTCTGTTATAGAAGTTAAGCAAATCTCTCTGCATAGAAAGTAAACCAGGTTGCAAATACGTTTTTTGTGGCTATTTAGATATAGCCACATCATATTGGTGATTGTCCTATTCCAAATTACAGAAGTGAAAAAGGATAAACATATCTCTAAATGAAATTGAAGTGCAACCCTTACACTGGTTGCATTTCTTGTCTCCAGAAAGCAGCAAAAATTGGAGTGGTTTTATCTCTAAAGGTTCTATGTATGAGTGGAGAAAAAAACTTAGTATTTGTGCAAGTGGAGGTTCAAGAAGAGTAGGCTCAATACATGAATCTTCCATATCTTCCAGCTAGCTGTGGGATCAGGAGGGCTTGTTTTGGGTGACTCTCGTGAATGTGCTAGACACTCCCACAAGAAATACCTGCAGTTTGCAGACTGCTCACCAATAAAGCTATTTATTTTCTAGAGCCTTCTCTCTACTGACAGCTTATATTCAACATTTTGGAGAGACTAAATTATGATGTTGTTCTTATGGAGAAAAAATGACGTTTCATCCTCTAAAGCCGTTACATAAGGTAATTCTTTGTTTCAGGAGTTTGCTGCAGATGTATTTCTGTTGTGCTTTGACAACCTGAGAGTTAATATGCATCTTAAAGCAACCCTGGTGATTTCTCTCTTCCTGTCTCTATTTCTGGCGGTCACAGATAACAAAGGCACAGAATTTCATTCTGTGTCATATCACCATGTTCTATCACTGAGAGCTCTTCTGTGTTTGATTTCTGGTTTCTGTGGTTACCATCTACTGAAATAAAATACAGCATCAACATGAATGACAGAGAGAGATGTCAAAAAGCTATTAATAGTGATTATACAATTGATGCTTTTTGTGCCATGAAATTATTCAAAGCATTAGTTTCCTCAAATGCCCAAGCCAAATTAGATGTTTGTTTTTTTTTTCTTTTTTTTTTTGGGGGGGGGGGGTGTTGTTTTTTTTTCCTAATTTTCTGTTGTATGTTAATGTTTGTCATCCTCCTCCTCCTATACTCTGGAAGAGGCCTGCAGCTGCCTATACCTTTCCTCATCTTCACACCAAATACGGTGTGACACTGCTGCAGTGTCCCCACCTATAAAAGGAGGAGAATGATCCAATGATCCCACCATAAGAAGAAAATCTAACATGTGTGAGCTAAGATGATGATGGATGATGCTCAGAAATGGAGAAAAAGTAATAATGGAGGAAGAAAAAGGAAATAACTGGAGGGTGTCTTGAGGCAGGAGGTTTTTTAGAGTGCTAAGAAATAGGTGGTGGATGTCCGTGTGGTCTGCCATTATTAATCTTGCAGGCTGAGCATTTCTGAGGAGAAGTGATTGCCTGATAGATATTTGCCATGACATAAGGTTACAAACAATTGAGCTCATTTATCAAGACAAATATGAGAAATCAGAAAATAAAAATGACTGGATATTGAGTCCTCTTATTCCAAATAAGGAGGAAATCTACACTTATTAATCTGTTTCATTTAAATTGGGAAAACCAATAGAAAGGCAAGTTAATATGCTTAACTCACATACATGTAGTTTCACCTAGTGATTTCATCGTGTATAAAATTTTTTCCCGTAGGAATAAGAAATGAAACTACATTTAGCACCCATTTAGGTGAACCTGCTGTAATTCACTGAAATTTATTTTTCAGTACTTCAAATATTCATTTGACATGAAGATCCTTCAGCTCTGCCTGCCTGGCTATTTATCAGATGTGGGGAAAAGCAATTTTTTTTCACACACGTGAATCTTTATTAATTTCCTGTTTGGCTTATTTTTTCTAATAATTTCTTCTAATAAATACTTGCCACTTACTCATCAGACTTTGTGACAGTGAGATATCACAAGACTGTGGAAATAGCACACAGTTTGATTCCATACATTTGCTTTGTGCATACCCCTTTCTTTCATTGCATTTTCACCATGTTGGGATATGTCTCAACTTTGACACGTCAGAGACAAATCAGTCTTCATCCAAATTCTGCTACAAACAATACAAATATCCACTTACTAATGAGGTATCTACTGTATTTGCTGCAGTTAGTCCTATTTATCTCTGGATTCATGAAGAAGTCCAAGGCAATATCCTCAATCAGTTCAAATCAGTTGAAATTTCACAGCTATCCCCAGAAGTGTGCCAGAGTAGAAGTGTGAGGAGCTGAAGAAGTCCAACTGCCTTGAAACATGATTCAAGTTGGCACCTCAACTGTAGGTTGTTGTAGCTTGGAGCAAATCTCAGCTACAGAAGACCATGTCTTTTCTTGGAAAACAAATGTGAGAAAGACCCAGAAAACAGAACAGTTGGCAATTTTACCCCCAGAACACTGAAATAGTTTATGGTCCCTGTCTCCAGCAGAGAGCCCAGATCCACAAAAAACAATGAAGCTGAATTGTCTGGGGTTTTTTGAATGTGAATCCCATATTTTGTCAGTGAATGGCATACTTTGTTCTGGCTTCATGTAGATCTGTTTGGGCCTGTCAGGTGAGAAGGCAGGAGGACATTGGTAGTTTCTGAGTGAGTTCAGTGAGAAGTCTGCAGAGCCATGGCAGCACTGCATGGCAGTGACTGCATGCAAATGCAGGAGCTGTAGCCGACCAAGCCCTAGGCCCGCACAGGTTAGTTGTGCCTCTTAGCAGGAAATGTTTCCTTACCTAAGCACAATTAATAATATTTGAGGAAACACCTGAAAATTTGTTAGATTTATCAGTGAAGGAGAGGATCTCTACATCTGTTCAGGGTCCCAAGCCAGCTGCTGTGATCATGTCCATGCAGACTCTGTTGTATACCATCCCTTGGGAGATGATATCTCACATTTGCTTGCTCTGACCACCTTCTTCTCCCAAGACATCCAATTTTGGCTGCAGTTGGAGGCAGGGAAGCAAGCCAGAGGGCCATCATTTGGTTCTTGACACAGCAGTACAGTGGTTGCAAATAGTGCTCTGCTTTTCATTCCTAGAGGACATGACATTCACCGAGGCTGAAGAGCACAAATAGGATGGACTCCAAAGCTCAGGGGATGTGCAGGAATTAACTCCACTGTGTGTCAGCCCCTGGAGGTGTTAGCCACATAGTCTGGGTTTTCCAAATTACTTCAGTCTGCCCAGCTCAGAGCAGCCAGGCACACATCTTATCTGGTGCAATCCCATGTAACTAGACTGGAATATGCTCCTGGGGATTGAGCTGCCATGTGATATAAAATCACATGGAGCCACTTTTATTATTCACAGCTGTGCTCTTTCATACCTGGCCAGGACATGCCCCACTATGGAAGAAGTCTCCAACATCTTACATTGGTAATTCCATGTTTGTGTCCCTGCCTGCAGGCAACATGCTGCACTCAGGTGCTCAGCTTGACAGGCCTCTTGGCTACTGTCAGGTGATGTTTTGCAGTGAGCATGTGGGCT